GGGGATATAAATTTTATAATCCCGAGGATAAAAATATTTTTGAGACGGGAACTGCCATATTTTTCGAGGATGTTGAGTTTGGGGGGAAGAATAAAGTTAGAGATATTGTCTTTGAGGAAGAATTGATTTCAATACCTGAACCAATTCATACGGATGTTTCTTTTGAAACTAATGAGGAACCTCAACAAGGCATTATTTCATCATCTCCTTTCCAAACTGAACAAATTGTTCAAAATGAACAAACTCAACTTCCTCTGGAACAAGTGCAACAAGAAAACGTGTCATTGCGGCGATCCACTAGAGAAAGGAGATACGCAATTCCGGATGATTATGTTGTATATCTCCAAGAACATGCGTCAAGCATGGATACAGAGAACGATGTCCTTGTGTTTATTCAAGAACATGAGGAAGAAAGTGGTGTTATGGAAGATGATCCAATCAACTTCCGTCAAGCCATGAAAAGTTCAAATTCTCAAAAGTGGGTTGTGGCAATGAATGAGGAGTATAAATCTATGCAAGACAATAAAGTTTGGGAACTCGTCCCATTACCCGAAGGTTGTAAACCCATTGGTTGTAAATGGATATTTAAAACCAAAAGGGATTCAAAGGGTAATGTGGAGAGATATAAAGCGCGTCTTGTAGCTAAAGGTTATACTCAAAAGGAAGGAATTGATTATAAAGAGACCTTTTCTCCGGTTTCATCAAAGGACTCTTTTAGAATCATTATGGCTTTAGTTGCACATTTTAATTTAGAGCTTCATCAGATGGATGTTAAGACAGCGTTTCTCAATGGTGATATTGATGAAACTATTTATATGGTGCAACCAGAAAATTTTGTGATCGGAGATCCAAAACAAATGGTTTGCAAATTAACAAAATCCATCTATGGGCTGAAACAGGCTTCTCGTCAATGGTATCACAAATTTCATCAAGTCATTTTATCCTTCGGTTTTAAGATGAATGATGTAGATGATTGTGTATATCATAAGTTCAGTGGGAGTAAAATATTTTTCCTGGTCTTATATGTTGATGACATTCTTCTTGCCACTAATGACATAGGCATGTTACATGAAACCAAGAGATTTCTATCAAAACATTTTGAAATGAAAGATCTTGGTGAAGCCTCCTTTGTATTAGGAATTGAAATCCTTCGTGAGAGATCACAAGGAATCTTAAGGTTATCACAAAGGAACTATGTCGATAAGGTCCTTAAAAGATTTGGCATGGAAGATTGTAGACCGTGTGATACCCCTATCTCTAAAGGAGACAAGTTTAGTCTCGATCAGTGCCCTAAAACAAATCTGGAAATTCAAGAAATGAAAAAGATTCCCTACGCATCTGTTGTAGGAAGTCTTATGTATGCCCAAGTTTGCACGCGTCCGGATATTGCGTATATTGTTGGGATGCTAGGCAGATATCTCAGTAATCCAGGAATGGCTCATTGGGTGGCGGCCAAAAGAGTTATGAGATACTTAAAGAGAACAAGGGACTATATGCTTACATATAGAAAATCAGATCATTTGGAGGTCGTTGGATACTCCGACTCTGACTTTGCCGGCTGCAAAGACACTAGTAGATCTACTTCAGGCTATGTTTATCTACTAGCATGTGGTGCTATATCTTGGAAAAGTGTTAAGCAAGATATGATAGCTACCTCAACTATGGAGGCAGAGTTGTTGGCCTGTTTTGAAGCTTCAAACCATGGAATATGGATGCACAATTTTATTGATGGGCTGAAAATAATAAATGATGTTTCAAAGCCTATCAAGATATTTTGTGACAACAATTCTACGGTGCTTTACTCTAACAACAACAAGAGCTCGAGCAAGACAAAACACATTGAAGTGAAATATCGAGCTGTTAAAGAAAGGGTTCAGAATAAAAGGGTCGCTATTGAACATATAAGTACAAACTCCATGCTAGCGGATCCTTTAACCAAGGGTCTCCCACCAAAAGTTTTTCATGAGCATACTGCTCACTTGGGAGTCATTGACTTTAAGGAACCTCAAGTTTAGTGGGAGTTTATAAGTTATGCTTGATGTTCTATTGCTTTATGAATTTATCTTCTGATCAGAATAAAGTTTGACATTTGGTGTATTCTGAACAATTAAGATATTAAAGTTTAAAGTTTATTAAAGAAGGGTCAGTTGAAAATTTACATGTACATGCCACATTTCATGTAATTTTCATGCTACACATTTCATGATTGATCTATGTCATTATGTAATATTGATACTAGTGATCATTGGGGGTATAGTTATGTTTAACATAACAAAATGCTGCAATGGTTCTATATTAGTATTACTGATGGACCAGATTGTTTAAGGATGTTATTTTATATGATGGTATTTTTGAGCTCATAAAGATAACACATTTTGTTAAGAATTACATATAAGGCCCAGTGGGAGATTGTTGGAAAACAATAAAAGGGGCCTAATATGTAATTAATTAAAATGTGTTTACCATCAAATAAATAATACAGTGGCTATTCATGAAATAATAAAAGTGTAGATACCAGGATAATATATTTCTTTTGGTGACGGGTCAAATTAAATATATTACACTAAAGTGATACAACGGTTATGACCCCCGGTGCGTGTAAACTAAGAGATAACAGTAAAGATATTGTAACGGAAAATGGCCTAATAAATTATTCTAAATAATATCATTATTGTAATAATAATAAAGGAGTTATTAGAATACTAAGGGCCAACCGTTACAATATTCCACTAGTCCTATATATATCCCATCAATAGGTAGGACTAGGATAATCAACATCTCATACGGTACATAGCACTGGAAGGTTAGGCCGATCAATCGTGTTGGATTCCGGGTCTTCTTAAAGTGTTAATGCAAATGAATTCTCAAGGTATTGTTCTAATCTTAGTTCATACATATTTGATTTCATGGATTTATATGGATTTAGCTATTATATATTTATATATATATCGCATATGGAGTTTTGTTGATATATGTATGAATATCCATCAGTATATTCTTTTTAAAACTTGGCTTCATTTAAGATTTGTTATTGATGTTTTAAATTTTCAAATTGTCAACAAAATTAAACATTAGGCCTAATTAATTGAACGTAACAATAAGAAAAAGCCTGCTCACACTATATATAAAATAAAATTTTTGTCATGTTTTTTCTTCTATTTTTTTCCGGGCCTAGGGCGTTCTCCGTTGTCCCCCCCCCCCAAACCGTCCCTGGTTGTTACATACATAAGCAAATGATTAAATATATCTGTATAAAACTCAAATAATATAAAATGAAATGCTTCTTTATCCTGTGTCGATATATTATGGCTCAAATTTTAGAAATCTATTGATTCCTTGTGATTCATTACTTTATCTATTGATTCTTTTATGATCGAGATGTATAGATTCGAATCTAAAAAGGTGTATAGATCTGAATTACTTGTGTCCAATAATGTTCGGACCCGGACCGAAACCGGTACCAGACCAAATTGGGTCGGGACAGGGCTTCAATTATTTAGAACCAGGACCGACCGCGCCGGACCATCTCCATGCTTACTTAGAACAATAATCTTCTAAAAACTCCTGCCCTTATTTAACAATTCCGATCGATAATACTGAGACAAAGAAATACAATATCCATTTGGTATACACTTTTAATAGTAGCCCACAAAGAGCATTAAAACTCAAGCATGTTTGGTAAAGTTTAAATCAAGTCTACACATCAAAATATAACACAGTTGTATCAAATTTATACATGGTAACATGGAGTCGTTCTTAAAACAACAAGGGAAAACTGTCAAATATGTCCTCAAACTTTCATAAAAAGGTCAATTAAGTCCTTCTATAGGAGGTTGTGTCCAGCCGTCGCGATTTGGGACAGTTCCCGGTGGAATTTTTTGATGAAATATTTTTGGCATCTTATTCACCAAGTCTAGTTTACTCACACCAAATTTCAGCTAAAAATTCAATCAGGAACACATTCAAATTAATTCTTGAAGATAACTGCGCATGTTTGCGTTCTCGAATTAATTTGAATGCGCTCCCGATTAAATTTTTAGCTGAAATTTGGTACGAGTAAACTAGACTTGATGAATAAGATGCTCAAAAAATTTCATCAAAAGATTCCACCAGGAACCTTCCCAAATCGCGGCGACCGGACATAGTCTCCTATAGAAGGACTTAATTGACTTTTTTATGAAAGTTCGAGGACCTATTTGACAGTTTTCCCAAACAATAATCTTCTAAAACTCATGCCGTTCTTTAACACTTCCGATTTAATATTGAGACAAAAAAAATATACTGCGTAATATCTTTTTGGTACACACTATTAATAGTAGTCAACAAAGAGGGTTAAAATTCAAGTATGTTTGATAAAGTTTAAACCAAGTTTATACATGGTACAACACCACTACTAAGACGAATGTTTCACCTTTTTAAAATATAATAATACAGTTGTATCACATTTATATGTAGACTGTAGAGTACTTAGAACAGTAAGGTTATAGAAATTCCTGCTATTCTTAAACCATTCTGATCTATAATACTGAGAAAAAGAATATACTCTGTAATTCTGTTTTGTATACACCATTAATAGTAGTCTACAAAAGAGGGTTAGAATATAAACATGTTTGTAAAATTTAGGCTAAAAGGTGAAATAGGCCCTCGAACTAACTTAAAAAGTGGAAATCATCCCTTATATTGGAGACTCTTTTTGGCGTCGCCATTTGGGGCGATTCCTAGTGGAATTTTTTGATGAAATATTTTGAGCATCTTCTTCATTAAGTTTGGTTTACCCATACCAAATTTAAGCTAAAAATTCAACTGGGAAGATAGTTAAATGAATTTTTAAAGATAACTACATAGTTAAACAACACAGTACATTTCAAAAAATCATTTGACTATCTTTCCGATTGAATTCTTATCTTAAATGGTGACGGTCGGGCACCTTTTAAGTTAGTTTGAGGGTCTGTTTGACTCTTTAGCCTAAAATTTAACCAAGTCTACACATGAATACCACTACTGAAACGAATGATTTACCTTTTTTAGATATAATATAGTACCGTACATAATATTTGTTCAGAACTAAGCAACACAAACACAATGAAATTCTAAGTACTTCTTAGTTCTTTAGACAATAGAACGGCCGGTGTGAACGCATAAATTGCAGCAGCATACAAAACTACACTAAAAATACAGATTCTAAGAGCAGGACTCATCAAAAGATGCCGACTTGTCTTGCTGCTCTGATTGTAGCTGGAGGATTCAAGTGTACTAGAAGAACAGAGAGATGGGTTCTTCTCCTTCTCCTTCTTCATAAAGGAGGAATATGATTCAATTTCTCCCTGGGTGAGCGCTGGCTTTAGTGACTGCCTGACGGTTTGGAAGTGTCGATCACACACAACAGTGGCTGAAATATCTTCTCTTAAAGCAACAATTCCGGCTTCTCTGCACAGCCCTTCCAACTCTGCCCCTGTGTAGAGATCCGTATTCTCAGCTACTTGCCTAATGTCAACATCGGCATCTAACTTCATGTTACGTGTATGCACACGAAGGATCTCACATCGAGCTTCTAAATCTGGTGGCGGCACATAGAGAACCTGAGGATATATGCAGTTATTACTGTGTAAGATAAAAGCAAGAGAGTTATGTCTAGAAGTGTTCAAGAAAAATCAGCTAAAACTCTTGCGAGAAAGTTCACTAAAGCTCTTGTATTAGATTGTTTGACATCATCTAATCTGGGATATGCTATTTGGATTTTTAGCTCATCTGGTAAGGGTGGATTTGGTTGAAGTAACTAAGTTGCGGCTGATATATTGATGAAGTTACTGAAATATGGGGAAGCAATACTTTGAACATATTTTATTGGCAATATGAAAGAATAATGGACTCCGTAAAAAAAAAAGCACCCAACTTGAACTTCACCAAACCCAGCCGAAAATTACATGAAACCCTAGCTCACCAAAATGTGCGGAATCAAATAAATTAATGTTTAGAAAAAAATTGCCTACAAGGATGATACGCTGAAAAAGAGTGGCCGCAGCCTAAAACAGCACTTTGTACATTTAGTCTTTCCATTGTTATCAATGAGATAAACTTGTGGATTAGAATCAAGGTTTATGAGCAGCATTCACAGCAGTACTGAATGCTGAGAATGCCCGTATATAACCTAATATTTATGGGTGCGAATGCAACTTTAACCAAGGATACATTGTATCTAAACTAATGTGCAACTTTCCTTAATATTGAGTACTTGGAATTATTTTCCCACAGAATATATGTGCTCAAGAGTGCAAGTAAACTATGAAATAACTGATACCAGATCAAAGCGCAAGTAAACTATGAAATAACTGATACCAGATCGAAGCGCCCAGGTCGCATAAGTGCAGCATCAATTGCCTGAGGGCGATTGGTTGCAGCTAAAACAAGAATCCCCTGATGGATTGAAAGGAAGGTGTGTTTAGGTTGCATTACTTTGGCAAATAAAGAACAATAAAGGGATTTCTGATCACCTTCATTTGCTCCAGGCCATCCATTTCAGTCAAAAGAGTAGACAGAAGTCTCTCCCCAACAAGGCTGCTTCCGCTAGAACTTCCACCACTACAAGAGTAGATAGAAAAATAAACAAATATAGGATAAAATTCATATATTTGTCCGGGCCGGTCAATGACCCGGTCCGGGCCGGTCAATGACCCGGCAGTCTCGGTTTTTTTAAAATTCATTTTTTAAGTGAAGAGTTTGAATAGAGCATTGAGTTTCAACCAATAGGGAAATTAGAAAAGAATTTGTCACACTAACCGTTGAGATCGACCGAGACTGATCGGTTTTGGTCCCGACTATCCTATATGGGACCTGGTACCCTACTTGGATTGTACTAGGTTTGATTTCGGAATGAGACCACACTTTCGGTCTTCTGGACGATCACAGAACCGGGTGAACAGAATTTGACGAACATGTTTTCAGATTTGAAAATGGAAAACTAAAAAATGAAAACAGAAAATTGGAGATAGAAAAACTGGAACATGAAAACAGAAAATTGGAGAACGGAAAATAGAAGTAGAAAACTGGAAAATATCTCTGTTAGTAAACAGGCCCTAAAATTTGCATATGCATGCTAAATAACTAACTAAATAAATAAATAAACAAGTCATGTTCGAACAATGCATTACTTTTATTTACAGGGTGGGTACCGCGGACCTTTTGGCAGTGACCTCCAAGAGGATTCAAACATGTAACCCCAGAGAACATTTTGTTCCTGGATTCAAACTAGTTGAAACATGAACAACCCCTGAAGGTTAATGCAGAACTTTTTAATTTTACTTAGGTACTCATAAATCGTGAATAATATTTATAGTTGTCTATTTATTTTTTATTTACACTAAATTTAACATATTACCATATGTAACTTTATGTGACATTATTTTTTAAAAATTACATGAACGATTTTCTTTGTTTGGTCTAAGTTACTCTTTTTGGGAGACAAAAAGAGTTCGAAAGAAACTTTTTTGGGATGAAGAAATATTTATCCTGGTGTACACATTTGCAGTGTTTTATCACAGTGTTTTAATAATCGGGCTAGTTAGACATGCAGACGCCTCTTGAGCAATTCATTTCTAAGCAGATTAGGAAGCCAGAGTGCTCTTACATAGGTTAGCAGCTCGTTTAGGCACACTAGGCAAGCTAAGCATCACTCAAATGCCTGGCTACTGCCTAAGCAAATCTCAGAACATAGGTTTCTCCTAGTCATCACTGGAAGTAAGCAACTAATTCCTAGAAATTGAAGCTCAATTAAGTCACATTTACATAAGGGGAACTTTTTATCCTGCGCAAATTACCGTTTGGCAGCAATGACATCAGCTTCATCAAAGAAAATAATGCTTGGTGCTGCAAGTCGAGCTCTTCGAAATGTATTGCGCAACAAAGCTTCACCTTCACCGACATACATCGAATACAATTCTGCACCACTGGTGCATTATCATTAAAATAATATGAAAAAAGTTGCAATTCTCATAAAGAACATAAAAAGTAAGGTTTCTTATCACATACCTCAACGAAAAAAAGGAAGCCTGTGCAGCATGAGCAGCAGCTTTTGCAAGGGTGGTTTTAGAGCACCCTGGAGGTCCATGAAGAAGGATGCCATGAAGAGGTGATACTCCCAACCGCGCAAATGCTTCAGAATGCCTTAACGGCCACTCTACAGCTTGCTGTAGCTTTTTCTGTTCCATTTATCAAATAAAAAAGTTATATATAAAGATATTTAGCCCGAGAGAGTGTTTGGTGAGGGTTGTTAGACCATATATGCTGAACTTTCTAAAAGGAAAGGCGCATAGAAATCGATTTCAGCCAAATACGTATGTCAAAGGCTACTTATTCTGACTATTCCGCTGAAAGGAGAATATACAGAATAAGCCTATCAACTTTAACAAACAGGGTCCGAGTAAGCTAACAGGTACAAACCTTTATGCCTTGTAGTCCTCCAATATCCTCCCAAGAAACCTTTGGAATTTCCACAACTACACCTCTTGTTATACTAGGACCAACAATAGATTTGGCATGCCTCCAGTCATCCACTGTTATGTTCCAAGAGCAATCTACTTGATCTAATTCTGAAGATCGTCTGACAGCAGACGTAGTAGCTTCGCGGCATAAAGCTTCTAAATCTGCCCCAACATAGCCATTACAAGAGGCAGCGATTGACTACAGGTCAACACTGGGGTCCAATGGAAGCTTCTTAGTGTAAAGCTGCAATGTGTCAACATAAAATACACCATCACTCAACAAAATCTCCATAAAACTTTAACATAAAAAATTGTTATTGTTGTTGAGGATTTATTAGACTTGACAGCCCAGTTTCAATAAGTCCTACAAGATATATTTTGCTCTATACCCATCGATCCTTTTTGTCGAGTATTAATCACAAGCTGGACACATATTATATGTATTCTCGTGAAATTTATAGCTTCTGTCCTCTTCATTTTTTGTTTTCTTTACAAGACTGTGTTGTTGTATCTTTTCTTTGACCTTTGTATGTTTCTTGTATTAATATATTTTCTCGGAATTTTGACAAAATAAAAAGCAGGTGCCTCCTAAATAATAAGGTGAAGTTCATAAGAATAATCCATACGTTTATGGATTCTATAATAATAATCCCTACTCAAAGTGTCCACAAAAATAATCCGAACTAGCTATGGTATTCATAAGAATAAATTGGGGTGAATTCAAATTAATGCTAGTTTAATACTTTCAACCTTTACTCCCACTTTTCTCTTCCCCGCTCTTCTTCTCGGGGATAATTCAAACTAAACATGTTTGATATCAACACCATTCCCGCCATATGTGGTTCTCCCTAGGTTGGAACATAAAAGTGTTAACCGAGACGGAGAGTGGAGAATGGGGAAATAAATGTAGGGACTGAGTATTAAATAGACATTAGTTTGAATTCATTCCAATTTATTCTTGTCGACACTATTGCTAGTACAATTATTTGTATGGACACTCTTAGTCGGGATCAAGGTTGTCAAAAGCGCTCGCCTCAGCGCTTAAGCGCACAAGGCGCAGCGAGCATACCCCCCAGCGCTTGAAAATAGGTGAAGCGCACGTACCTGGGTAAGGCGCATGAAGCGCATCAAGCGCTGCAAGTCGCACGCCTGGGTCGCCTGAGCTGGAAAAGGGCTGACAACCTTTTTTTGTTTTAAACTTTCAAATACAATTAGCCCATATCTTTAATAACACTAAGCCCATGAAAATATTTGGGTAAAAACAGTATAACCGACGTAAAACCAAGAGTCTATGTAAGTAAACACGTAAAACTTGCGCAAGACACTACTGCAATCATCGCTAGCCATCCTCACTCTCCTCACTTGAAGCTGCTCTACACCAGCCAGTTCTTTAAGCTTTCATCATCATCTCAAGCAAACTCAGCTCTCCCTCTCAGCACTAAACAAGGTATGTTTTCTTTTTCATACAGTCCTCTTTATCCAAATACTCATATTACACTAGTGTCTAAATATTAGCGTAAATGTGTAATAAAGTAATAATACTACGTATTAGTATATTAGTATGTATATAATACTCATATGTGCTCTGCTTTGTGGTTTTGTAAAGATATTACTCTATAATCTTTCAGAGTATATTAAGTTCTTAACTTTAAATGCATTACTCAATTCTGTCACTCTTGTGTTTTATAAATATTAAAGATATTACTCTGTTTGACCCAACTAGAGTAAAACATGGCTGTTAACATAGGGCTGAGTATAACATGTTTTTCAAAGTTGATAACCACCTTTTACAACACACAAGATGACAAACACAGATGAAAAACTAAAAGAACATGATAAACACACAACCAGCTTTCTGTTTTTCCATTATTGAGCACCCATATTCGAGTGTTTGGCCCATAAATATATTATATATGTACTCTACTTTGTGGTTTTCCAAAGATGTTTTCCAGTGTATTAATTATTAAATAATTCCAGCTTTGTACTTTTCCAGGATATGGAAGGTGGAACAAGTGCTGCAGGTGGTGCTGAAAGTGAAAACTCTACAAAAAAGACCCAGCTTGGAAACGCAATTACTTGGCTAACAAAAAAGATCCTAATTTTTGTGAATCATGACTTTATTTTGAGCAAAGTGGAAGGCGGGTATTCGTGTGGATGAGTGATATCGTATTATCTTTTCCCCTCTTTTTTTTCTTTTTTTTCTTTTTTTTTTCTTTTTTTTTGTCTTTTTTCTTTTTTTCTTGTTTGTTTTTTATCCTTTTTTGCTTATATATATAAACATTATTTTTATGCTTTTTATTTTATCATTTTTGGGTATATTCATCTCTTTTTATATTATCTTTTCCATAATAGCTTATCTTTTTTATCTTTATTTTCTTACTCTTCCTTTTGGTGGTGATATCATGTATCGATTCATGTTAGCCGACCCCAATATCTTTTGGGACTAAGGCTTGGATGTTGTTGTTGTTGTTGCATGACTTTATTTTGATGAATCCTAGCTTTTTTATGCATTTGGTTCAATATGATGTTACATACATCATATTTGGTAATTATAGAACAGTATATGTGATTTTATCTAAGTAGTGCGATTCACCCGAGTCAGGCGAGCGCTTTTTTGCGCCTTGCGCCTCAGGCGCTGGGAATACCCTATCGCCTTGAGTGCGCCTCACGACTTTGACTACCTTGGTCCAGATTATTATTGTAGAATCCATAAAAGTAGGGATTATTCTTGTGAATTTCGTCAAATAATAATAAATACTCCATGATGAGCACCATACATTGAGGATATGAAAGCGTTCATCTTCATTAGGGGTTGTGACTTCAATCTCAGCATCAAAACGCCCAGATCTTCTTAGAGCCGGGTCGAGTGTGTCAACCCTGAACATTAATCACAGAAAACATTCATCTTAAAAGACTTGCAACCAACAATCTATATGGTATTAAAAATAAACATTTAAAAGACAGTATACCAATTACATATGGCTTAATTTGATTCAGATATCATAGTATGGTTGAAAAATTTAACAGTTTTTTATTCAAAAAGAGATTGTTTATCCTTCACCACAGTGACAAAAAAAACTTACTGATTTATTAAAATAAAAAACGGATGTATGGTTGTAAATTAAAAATGGTGTATATTATTAGCTCAGACACTACAGTATGGTTGTAAAAATCAACAGTTTGTTCGATTCAAAAAGCGACTATTTATCCCTCACCATAGAGAGAAAAACTTAAGTAATCCCACCCTCCCTGCCTGCCATGAATAAAACATATTAAAGTTGTATTTCTTTGGGTATGGGTTCATGGCATATCAACATCTTTGTAGTTAAAATAATATAAACATATAAAGGTTGGATTTCTATGAGTACGGGTTTATTCCATATCAATAATTTATAGTGATTGTAAAATAACAAAATAGGTGATACCCTTGAAAGCAACACCACCAAATTACTATTGACCTTCAATAATAAAAGATAGAATAATAATGCTTTCTTTTGCAATCCACATGTCAAAAAAATATCCTAAATTGGAATAGTATCGGGGGGTTTGATTTGCCAAATTGCCATTACAGGTTACTTGAGAGAATGATGGAAAAAAAGGGTTTCTCCGTCAAGAGTAAATCGCATTTACTAATATATGGAACTTAAAAGTAAATAAAAATAACCAAAATGACCTCTTTGTACTTTATTTGAATACAACACAAGAAAAAATGGAAACCAAAAAGTTACTTCCCTGAAACATCAGTAGAACCCACCTATTAGTTGATGCCACTACAACAACATGTAATCCAGATGTTGAAACGGACTTATTAGAGTCCATCAACATAAAGAGCTGAGAAGCTACACGTACATCTTGTTCTCTTCTGCAATAGCAAACTCACCAAGTATGTTGAATGAAATATGAATATGAAAGTATTATGTGCAAGTGCAATAATCTATGAAGCACAGAAACTTCCAATGACTCATGCTTCCCCGCTCCGCAAACTGGAAAGCGTATCAAAAACTCCAGAACTTCAAATTCCAGTTTGAGGGGTGTTTCAATAACTAAGAAAAATTGGAAAGCTTGTTTCCCAAAATAATAACTGTTAGAGATATTTTCATTATATTGTGATCAATGTTTCTTAGCTATTTATATTTAGCATCTTAATTTAATAGATTAGCTAGAATAATGAATAGGCCTTTTAAGGCAATTTGTAATAAAAGGTTTTATACCTTTTTAGGTATGGGCCTCCTAGAAAAAGGAGCCCAAATGATTGTAAAACCTACCTTTCCCGTCAGGCTATATATATGCCTTAAGGGAAAGGCTAGGTTAAGCTTTTCGTAACATTCCTGTGCAGCAGTGCCTATATCGGTGATAGAAGTTTTACGCTAAATTGTTCATCATTCTGTAAACTTCATTCATCGTTCAATGGAAAGCTTCATTCCCAGATCTATCTTCCATACATACATATTCTAGACTAGAAAACAGGGACCTAACATCTGGTATCAGAGCCGGAGCTGATCGATCGATTGAAGGCTGGAAAAGCTTCTGCGCGATTCTTCATCGGCGAAGATTTTGCACTTGAGCTATTTCTGGCTCTATTTTTGTTGTTGTTTTTGCAGGAAATGGCTTGAAGGAAAAGGTTTCTACTGTTGCTAGGATCATTCCTGGAGAAAATCTCGATCTGAAATTTGGCGTACAGGTTCAGCCAGATTTGAGCGATCCTGCATTTTCGCGCAACTCGCTGAAAAAGAAGAACAGGTTCGCGCAACTGAGCATCTGAGCGATTTCGAGCTTCGCGCAACAATACTTGCGTGATCTCACTCTAGCGCCATCCTCCTGCGCGATTTCCACTTCGCGCAAGTACTCCTGCGCGATTCAGGACTTGCGCCATTTAGAGATTTGAGCGATCTTGTCCTTGCGCGATTAGGAGTTGAGCGATATTCCTCTTGTTGAGCGATCTTTTAGCATGTTGAGCGATCTTTTTACAGGTTGAGAGATTTGTAGTTGAGCAATCTTATACTTGAGCGTTCCTTTAAGTGTTGAGCGATCCTTTTTAAGTTGAGAGATCTTTTGTAAAGTTGAGAGATTGTTTGTAGAGTTGAGCGATCTTTTATTTAGAGCTGAGCGATCT